TTAGGAACGAAACAAGTGACTGCCTTTATGAGCGATTCTCTGAATCATTCACTCAAATGATTCGTTTTGATGATTCATTCAGGAAGGAAACACCACCTCAGAGCTAGCTCTGCACCACCTGCTCTGTGTTGCTATGAGACATGCAGCAGTTCTGCTGCTTTGTTTGGAGCTATTTATGTTGACGGAGCTAAAATAACTGGAAAAGTATATTGTGTCTATAAGTTACAATGTTAACTTCTTGTTTATTGAAATATGGTAAGCAGTATCACACTTGCATTCATACTGTGCATAAACAGTGTGTGTGTATATATATATATATATACATGTGTATATATATATATATATATATATATATATACTCTAAACTCTAAACAAAAGTCCATAAAAATATGTACTATGTTAATATGAAGGAATTTTCCTAAATGATTTTTCAAATTACTTGTTACATATTTTGTTTTAGGGTTAAAGGAAATGCTTTCTGTTTTTCTACAGATTATTTTCTTACTGTGTACCTCAAAATTATGTAGTATTATACAGTTAAAAATTATAAGGCTAAAATGTTATTTCTTTGTTGTATAAAGGTTATTAGATTATTATTTCTCAATTAAAGTGTATGAAGTGGCAACATCATATTAACTGAAAGACTGCATGGAATATTTTTTTTCAATAACATAATGTAAAAATTTTATATTTAAGCTCAAAGATAATTAAAAACAGAGAAAATTTTCAAAATAGTGACCTGTCACAGCTCCTTCAATAATATGTTTTTTAACCTAAAATGTTTAAAAACGTTCACAGACATGCTATTTGTGCTATACTGTAGCTGACTATTTGTCTTGTTCATATATACATCTCCAATTCAGAGAAAGAATAAAAGAAGAAAGAAAGAAAGAAAGAAAGAAAGAAAGAAAAAGATCACACTGGTAGCACACAACAAACACTCCTTCCCATTTTACTATCAGATGAAGCCACAAAACCAGAGAAAGAGAGAGAGTTAGAGAGAAAGAGCGAGTGAGCAAGAGAAAGCGTTTGCTTGCTCTTCATGCAGTGCCTTAAACTATTTACTGACTCGCACATAAGCACAAACACAGACTACAGGCACACTTGTTTACACATGTGCACTCACTATTTGTCAGTCACTGGGTTACACCTTCTAACTAATAGCAGTCAAGCCACTTTTGCCTGTGTGGTCTCTGATAGCACAGCTCATTTCTGAATGCATGGTCACTCTCAACTGCCTGGCACCCTACACTTCCCATGTTTTGCAACACACCCAAATTTCACAGAAACAAAGCGAAAGAGAGAGAGAGAGGGGTGAGAGAGAACATGTTTGTGGTGTTAGACTGACACTTTGAACACACATCTTATGACTGGTGGTCCTCCCTTCCTCTTCTCAACCAAACAACAGAGATCTCCACTTCGATGCAGAGGACTAACTTGATAGTTTCTCTGAGTGTCTAATCAGTTAATTAGAGTAAACAGTATTCTTCTGTATATAAATCTTTTGAATAATACTGTGCACCTTGCTTTTGGAAAGGGTGTTTTACAACTGCGAATTACATGTATTAACAAGCAAAATATGAACTCAGTAATGCATTTAGCCAAACAAAGGAAGCTTAAAAGATTAGTAAATTAGTAAATGACATGTCAGCAGTGACAGCAGTGCACTTAAGTTTGACATACTATATTTCATCTAAAAGTTCGATTTTGGGGGTAATTCTTGTACACGTAGTTCTTATTTCCTCCAAATAAGGAGACTACATTAAATATTTGCTTTTAAAATTTCATGTCTTACCAAAGGACTATTCAAGTAAACTACCTACCAAAAAGCTAAAAGGTGATAACAAATAGTGAACAACTTAAAAGAAATGGTGATCAAGCACAGCACCTAAAATATATCTTCTTTAATTATTCATATACATTAAAAATTTTTTTTACCTAAATGTTTATGTGCAAGTTATTAGGGTTATTATAGCTAACTAAAACATAAATAAAGCATATTCATTCCTTAAAATAAACACTAACTGAAATAAAATCAAATATATAAAACTTAAACTTATTTTATTTTAGCTAGTTGCCAAGCCAACATTTCTCATTTTCATTTAGCTAGTTTAACTTCATGTGCTAAAATAACTAAAACTGAAATAAAAAAGAATAAAAAATTATATAGACATTAAGAAAAACAAAAACTTAAAAAAAAGATAAAACACACAACAGTATTACTAAATCTTTAACTGAAATTAAAATGAAAACAAAAAATATAATAAAAACTAATTCAAAATATTAATAAAAACTATAATATTATCTTAGTGCTATTAAAATAACAGTGCTATACTTGCATGATGCTATGATATGACTAATGATTGAATACTTAATTTTAGAATTTAACTGCCGTTCACACAAAGGACGATAACTCTAATCATAAAGTTTTAATAATCATTCTAATTCTATGAGAATAGGGAAGTCCACATCACAGTTAAGACTTGTTCACACCAAAACAATAACTATAACGGTAACTATATTAATGTCCACACTAACAAATAATAAAGTGCATTCTGCAGTTACTGTATATCATCTGCTGCTTTAAATGCTCAAGCTTGTTAAAGTTGGGAGCGGAGCGGCGTGATTTTTGACTGGAGCGAGGAGTGGATTTTTTGAAAGTCGGAGCGTTGTGGTTTTCAGTCGCTCCGAGAGCGCTCCACTACCGCTCATCACAAGCACAATTAATGCCAACAGCCCATAATATAACTGCATTTTTTCAAGAATTCACGCATTAAACATCATTATCTAGCTTGACAGATACATGGATCACTCAAATCAGAAAGAATGTGAAGGTTATAATGACGGCGATGGACGAGTGCGGGAGGTTATATCTCAAGCATGTTTGTTTGTAGCATGTGGATACTCAATATTGATGGGGTGAATTCACGTTTTAAACTGTTTATTGTACAGGTAGCTAATCTCCGCTCTAAACTAATGTGCTGCTACATTGCTGCACGCGCACACAACACACAAGCTCGCACATAACGTACAGATCGCGCGCACATAGAAACATTCAGGAGTGCAGAAAATTGTGAATGCTGTCCTGTGAATTATCAGCTTAAAAAGTTACAGCATATTCTTTATGTTTCGGAAGTAACTACAACCCTCATTTTCACCATAGTAGAGAGACGCTGCATAGACAAGCGAGATAAACCAGGGGTCACCAAACTCAGTCCTGGAGGGCCTGTGTCCTGCAGAGTTCAGCTCCAACCCAAATCAAACACACCTGAGCCAGCTAATCAAGGTCTTACTAGATATACTTGAAACTTCCAGGCAGGTGTGTTGAGGCAAGTTGGAGCTAAACTCTGCAGGACACTGGCCCTCCAGGACCGAGTTTAGAGACCCCTGAGTTAAACAGTCATTAATCATAGACGTGTGCTAATTGTAGTGTTTCAATAAACCACATTAAAACTATTATTTTAGTATTGTGTATTTATTTTTTGTTTAATATAAGTTCTGAACATATCTGTGTGATATTTCAAAACATTCTGAAATACTTTAGCCGCAAATTTTGTCATGGAGCGAAGGCAGAGCAGCATTTCTGATCAGTTGAGAGAGGAGTGGAGTGAGGAGCGGGAAATGCTGAAGCTGAAGCGGAGTGAGTATTGCTTGGAGTGCGGAGGAGAAATTGTTGCCGCTCCACTCCGCTCACATACTCTGGTGTGGACTTCCCTATTCTCACAGAACTAGAGCGATTATTAAAACTTTATAGTTATAGCTATGTTATAGTTATAGTCCTCGGTGTGAACGGGGCTTCATAATGACACAGAGGAACAATACCACTGGAAACCACTTTCACAACTAATTTTGTCAGGTAAACAATAAAAAAAAATCAGAATAGACTCAACATTAACAAGCTTAAGGATTTAATAATGACAAACAACTCTTGTAGTAAACAGAATCTGGACAGTTATCATCCATTGGTGTGGATGCTAATATAGTTATGGTTATAGATATCATTTTTGGTGTTAACAGGTCTGTATACTGTTAATAGGGATTACCATGCGTCCATGACATACTGCTCATCAACAAAACTGAGGTACAGCACTGTTTAACACAGTAAAAAGAGAACCCAGTTAAGCTGTTTCAGTTTTAAACTGTTCCAGTTTTACTTTAATAGTTCCTGTTTTAAACTATTTCCTGTTTACATGTATAGCAAACATTATCACAGCAATACAAGTAACATTTGCTCAGACACAGGTAAAATGTGCACTGTGGCTTCTGGTCTGACAGATGAAAGCACAGGGTGAAATGAAAGCTGAGCACAGTGAAACACTTGCACAATTAAGCACAGTAAACATAAACAGATTGCAGATACATGCTAAAAGAAACGAGGAAGATCAAACACAGGAACAACAAATAACATACTGACTGCAGGTAAATGACAAAGCACAATGCTCTGTCACTTACATACTAAATTAAACTGCAATAACAACTGATATACAAGAAATACAGAATTTGAGATGCATTCCATGACAGAGTAACTTATGGAAGAGATACAGCACAGGTAAACTGCTTTGTCACAAAGCACAGCACTGAATTTGACAGGCAAGAGGCAATGCAAAGCAGCACAGCCACGTGCAAGAAGGCACACAAATGCTGCACTAACAGCTGAGAATTAGCATGTGTAAAGCATCGCATAACAACAATCTAAAGTCCACAGGCAACTGAAATTAAAATGCAGCCAAGCAGAGCCTTCGGCACAGCACAGTTAAGTAGTATAAAACACTGACAGTGATGGAAAGCAGCAGGGAAAGCACAAGTGTAAGCAATAGTCACAATGCATAGTTCAGCACTTAGTATGTATTAAAATGCAACCATGCAGCACAGAGAAACACAGCTGTGTTATAAAAACACAGAGAACATGAACTGACAGTGGATCATTATTATACTGCAGTACCTGGTTCTAATGCAGAATGCATCACACACACGCACAGACACACAGGACTTTTACTCACAAATCTCTTTAGCTTCTTCTCCGGAGGGGATTTTATGAGCCATCCTGTACACACCACATCGCCTGCGCTCATAGCTGCTGCGTCTGTGTGTGTGTGTGTGTCCGTTGCTGATTGCAGACTGAGAGGAAAGCAGAGAGAATCCTGTGTTCACCCCCCCCAAACACGGAGAGGAGGAACTCACAGCATCGACCAGGGACAGAGTGAGAGAGAAAGAGCGAGAGACGGAGGAGGAACAAACAGAGGGTGGGAGGAGAGAGCGTGTGTGTTTTTGTATTTGTGTGTGATCTTTGAGAGGACATGTATGTACAGGCGAACCGTCTGTGTGTGTATTCTGGGTGGAGGAAGAAAAAGATGTTCCTCCCTCCAGTATCTTGTAACAAGCCAGCATGACCTTGTGTGTGTGTTTATGTGAGAAAACCCAAGGTCAGTTTGGAAAATGCTGTGAGTGGAATTTTAACTGGTTTACTAGGCCATCTGTTGTTGGAGCCTCAGAGAAAGAAAGGAGGAGACAGGGAAATGGGGAATTATTTCAAACTTTTGTTCATTTTAACAATGATTTGTTATGCATGCCACCAAAATCTGTCCTACAAATATTTTTTTAGGTAAAACACCATTTTTCCTATCTGCACATTATGGGAAGTAGCAGGTTGTGCTGCATGAGGAAATGCTGTGGTGTCTGTGTGCCATCTAGTGACCAATATCTAGATCAAAATATTTTATTGGCAAAAAATAAATAAATAAATAATAATAATAATGAAATAAAATAAAATAATATTAATATTACCACCTTTTATGCTTGTGTGTATAAAATCAACATCCAAAAGCACAAACATAAAATAACATTTGAAAAAATTTAAAAAGTTTTGTTCTAAACCAGAGAGCTGGGGCCCACTATAAGGGGTCTCAAGATGCATATATACAATCAGCTCTCTGACACCCGAGGTTGATGAACTGCACCATCAAATAAGTGTGTATGTGTTCAGGCAGAATATATAACACTCACACACTCAGCAGGCTGTTTTACCAAATGCATGCACTGAAATTCAGATGGAGGAGGAGAATGAGATATGACAATATTCTCTTATTCATGCACATCACACACATTCAGTGTTGCACACACTTTGAAAGCAGGTCATTAACAGAAAAAGCATAAAAGCCATCATTACAGAGCCATTAACAAATTATACTAGCCTTCTGAGGAAAAAGAACAGAGTTGTTTTGAAACTGATGTATGAAGTCAGAAAAGCAGCACAGTCATGATGGAAATGGAATACAGAGCAACACACATACACACAAAACTGATTACTAAATCCTAATACAACAAGATAGTACACACAATTTGTCTGTCTGTGTCTGTGTGATTGTAGGTCTTGAAATGAAAAGAAATAGGACAGTAGAATTCCAAATGGCACCATTATATACCGTACAGTACATTAAATTAAATTTCGTTTATTTGATTGAATTTGCTTCTTTAAAAAATAGTTACATAAAATGTTAATTTTAATGTTAATATATATATATATATATATATATATATGTCCAGCTACTAGAAATTGTAAGTAAAGCTGATCCATTAAATCACAAACAACTGGAAAAGTCTTGAGGACAGTGGTGGTCCTTGGAGTAAAAGAGGCTGAAAACCACTGGTATATATTCACAGTTTGTGAAAAAGAAAATATTAAATACAATTAGAAATTTTAAAAATGTTTGTTAAATATAGTTTTAATTTATTTATTATGTTCTCATTTGTTTTGTTTTTAGAGAACTGTATTAAAACCAGTTAGGGTCATTTGACCCGACATCATAATAATCATTAATCATAATAATAGTTTATGGAACCCACAACAAACAAAAACACACAATGTATTGTCCCGTTTTTAATAATAGATAATATCAATTATAATCTTACAATATCAGGACATTAAAACAAAAACATTATGATACATTTGATCTTTCTGCCTTGTGTCTCAGTGTTTGATGTTTGACAGTTGCCCATTTTTGAGCATTTGATCATATCGCGAGATCTAGAGAACAGCTCTGAACGGGACTATGGATCACTCTGTTCTCGCGAGATTTGATATGAAGCTCTGAAAGGGGCGTGCGCGCGCGCCGTGACTGTACGGTCCTGTCATGACGCATACGCCAAAATTATGCTTTGTAACTTACTGTCTAGTCACCAGTAACTCATGAAAACCTTCGCACAATAACCAACATGTCGGACGAAGAGCTACCGTCTACTTCTCGGGAGGCGCACGCGGAGGCAGAAGAGGTAAAGCGAAAGAGAAGTACAGAATGTGTTTGCAGACGGACATGAAAAGCAGGATGCAGAAGTTTCCAGTTCATCTGCGTTTGGGGGGAACGGAACATGGCGGGAAGGCGGAGTTCAGTTCACATCTGCAGAGCTTTAGATGTTTATTACTTAGTGCTTCAGAGCATGTTTTTGTGGCTTTGACAGATTTGCATGCGTTCCGTCTGCGGTCGGAGCAGAGTTGCGCCACTGTTCATGCAGCCACAGAAGGAACGCGTGCAAATCTGCCTAATCAACATCAACAACTATATGCAGACATGCGTAAATAAACACTCACATACTCATCACTGTTACTCTGAGCTGAAATGTCTCTGATGTCATTCTGGCTTTATTTGAGCTTACATAAGCCTGGGTCAGTGAGAGGATTGATCTTTTGTCACTATAAGCAGTTTAAGGCCGGGGTCCAACTTTTAGTTATCAAAAAGAGTCGTTTTAATAAGCGATTTAAACATTATATTACATGACTGGTCACACTTTATATTGTTGTTCATATTGCTGCGTTTACAGAAATCGCGTGTAATCAATTTGTATTGTTATTTATTGTCATAGTTTTGTGATTATGATGTAAGATTTGTAACACATCCCCTAAAAAGTTACAATGGTAGCCATAGCTTCTGCTAAAATACCATAACTAGTACAGTTATTGTTACTAGAATAAAATTGTGATACCGTGTATGCCACCACTGGCGTAATAATAATAATATAAGAAATGCCGGGATCTTATAGTGATTTATTTTGAATGTACAGGAGAAGCAATAATGGTTACCATGACAACCTGTTGTAACGCATGTTTGCTGTAACTTGTTATTGTGACTACTCCAGTGGCGGCTGGTGGAAAAATGTCTAGGTAGGGCACCACGTCCAACAATTTTAGCATACATCCCATTATGATTTATCCCAGTATAACAAAAGAAAAAAGATTAAGACTTGAAACATTTTAAATAAAGATAATTGTTTTATCAAATTCAAGATAAAATACTCCAAATAGTCCACAGAACGTGACTTGACGCTGATTGGACTATATCCAGAGGCAAAACAAACAGTCTAGAACAGTGACAGCTAGCATAACACTGGTTTAATGTGATCCCTCCCTTTCACTCTTTGGTGGTGCGTCGCTCTAATGAAGAAACTTTACGCTGAAGTTACAGGTGAAGTAAGGCTGTAGCTTTGTTTAACTGGATAAAAATAGCCAATTTATATCTGTATTTTTTGGAAAAAAACAAAACAAAAATCCATGGTGTTCCACATTCTGTCATCATGTTGTCCTCTAGACAACCTGCAAACTGCAGGTTATAAAAATAAATGTAGTAAATGTATCTATATGTGAAAGGTTTTAATTTGTGACCATTATATTATAAAACAAAAACACCTGTTTACATACAGCTGTAAAGCAGAATTTAATATAACTAAATTATAAGAAATCACACATTTATTCCTCATGGACATAGTAACACGTTACTGTCATTTCTCGGTGGTGGCCTGTTAGAGGCTAATATTGGCCGAGCCAATAAATTATTGCAGCAGGATTGATGTTTATATATTTACTATTAATTATGCTTCCGTACAGAAATGATATTCCCTTGATATTTATCTAATAGTCTTGATAATTAATTACTCTTTATCTATTCTATTACCAACACAATAGCAGGACAAATGTTGCAGCACCATATACAGTGACCCTTATTTAACTATTTATACACTATTTCATAATGAAAAAATTTAAATATTAACCTTTTGTTCAGTCTCACTTGTTTTCAGATCCTTCAATAATTTGCTTTTCATCCATAAAAGTTCTTCTTCATCCGTTGTCTTCCCACAAACGGGTTTGGTGACACACTAATGTGATACTGAAAGCGGATGGGTCTAAATTGTTACCTCTTATCTTGATTGGTTATATATATGTGATTGGAGATCAGATTATATGCATCTGTGTAAACTGAATGAAATAGAAGGACTGCCACTGTTTTAATACATTTATATCTAATTAATTTTTTTGAGCTAAATTTAATGTCCAACAATAAATATTTCAGCAAAATTATGATCTTTTTCTAAATAAATCCATCTGTTTCATATGTATATGCGCTGGCACGTATTCAGTGAAGTATGTGAAGTTTAATGGAAACTCGCTGGCTGTCAAGATGAGGACAAAGTGGAAATATTTGCCTGATGAAAGTTATGCATGGAGGAAAACATGTGTCTATTAAACAGCACATGCATCTGTCACAGCACCTGGGATTGAATAGTTGTTACAATGCATATATTGTCTGCATGTATTGGTATCTAATGTGTGTCTTTGATTTGTGTTTCTAGGAAGACCCACCATTTCTCCTGGACCCTCCTCCTAAAGCAGCTGTGAAGGAGAGCTTGGTTGACCCTGAGTATGAGGAAAAAAGAGTGAGCTTTCATTACACTTTTAATGGTTAATGTAGTGCCAACAGGTTTTTAAATACATTGAGGTGTTAGCCAGTGTTAATCACAGGTGAGAATGAGGTTTGCACTACCAACCCTCAAAACCAACCAGAGATAGAGGTGAAACCTACTAGATGAAAGAATTTACTAGATATTAATCAAACACTGAATTCAGGCATGCTTGACGCCTTCCTACTTTCATATACTGCTTGTGAATTCAGCATTTGTTAGGTTTCAGGCACAGTTTAGGTCACTTTTGGCAGAATTTGAAATTCTTTTTAACTGATAGAATACAAATAATGTAAAATCCATCAGTCGATATTAAAAAACAATATATGTGAAAATGTGTTTTTTTTTTAAACAAAACTTTATGAAGTTAAAATAGTTTTTAAAGAATTTGAAGTAATAATTTATAATCATAATTTACTCAAAAATCTTCGTCTCTCCCTTGCCTATAGAAAACAGACCGTGC